AGGCTCGTACATACAAAGAAACCACAGGGTTGGGAAGATGTTGGATTCCTCCTGTCAGAAGCTGCTCTTTGCAGAGGAACACACTGAGCTGACTCTGACAGATAGCACAGTGTCAACAGCACTTGTGTGCTCTTCTGAGCTGCTTCTCTTCCCCTGCAGGCAGCTGCTGCTTGCCCCCAAATCCAGGAAATGTTTTCTTCTGAGGCTGATAAGTGGAAGAGATGTGCGTTGGTGTTACCCAGAATGGGCTTTGTGTGGTGGAGATGTTTGGCAAGGTTCCTTAGTGTGTTCCTCCTGTCTTCAGCTGCTTCCACGTCTCCCTGCATGCATGCCTGGGGTCTGAGAAATGGCTTGCAGGGTTCTGTTTCTAAAAGCACGTGAATGAGAAGGGCTGTGGTGCAGGAATAACCATTTACACCTCCCAAAAGTCTGAGGAGGCAAGTTAGGTAGCACGCTCCATGGCACTGAATTGTCTGTTTCCTTGAGCTTGGGATTTCTTTGTGCTACAGGCTGGCAGCAGCCTGCAGCTCTGGGGGTCAGCTGGAGGAAATGCCTCCACCTGCTGCTATGTCCAGCTCTTAGAGCTCTTCTGTGATGGTTGACAAGTAATGTTTTTCTTCTGAAAATGAACTGTGTTCTTTTTTTCCCAGTGGGTTTTACCAGTTGCTGTTTCTCACTAGTACTGCATGCTTGTCAGGCTTTATTTCTCAGAAGAGATAATGAATTTAAGTCTGTTTTCCTGTTCTGTGTACCAGGGCACATGTCTGATGGATCTAATTAGGCTAATACAAAACTCTCCAGATTACCAAATATTGTTTCATTAAGGAAATGGTATTTGAAGTCTTATTTTTATTGGCTGAATTGTATTTGAAGACACAGTGGGTATGTGTTGAAGGAGAACACAAGGAGAATTCAGTATGACTAAAACCTTTTCTTGCTGTTCAAAAGCATCTGCCTAGCCTCTGAAAAGGAAAGTACTGCCAGTCACCAAGGGCAGGATTTGTGTGCTAGTAATGTGACATACTGTCCATAGCTGTCCATAAGCTGTGCTTTCTGGAGGGAAAAGAAAAGGTATGCTTTATCAAATCACAAAATACATAATGTGAGGAAATTTTTTATATCTAATGGTGTTGTCTTACAGACTCTAGTTTTGAAATAGACATTTCTTACTTTTCTTACTTAGACACTTAAATGAATAGTCACAGTAAAGTTAATTTACATTTGGCACTGGTATAGAATAGCTGTGATTCTGTACATTCTTAAGAGAACTTTTCTGGTTTTTGTTAGTTGAAGATTTTTATGTTGAAATGCTAAATTACATGTGATTACCAACAAAAACTGAAATTACCTGAGAGTAAAAAGTCTCTATAACATAATGATTTGTCACTAACAGTGCAGTGACTGAAGATGTGGCAATTATTCTGCGCTTTGAGGTCTGTCTAGGCTAAGAAATTGGCATTAATAAGATGTTTCACGCTTAGAACCAATGCTGACAGTGATTCAGCTCTAGCAGCAGATGGATAAAACAGGTTTCAATACCTTTAAGTTCTGAGAATTTTCCAGTTAGGATGCTAAACTGTGCATGTGTTGTTTATTCCACCAGTGAAACAATCCTCACCATGGCAGTTGGAGTTGAACAACAGCTGATCATTGTCCTGGGACTGATAAATGCTCGTCTGAAGCTCCTGGGGTTTAATAGCATGAGAGGGAGACTTATAATTAGATATATTTCATCTGTCTCTAGTTATAAACACAGAAGAACTACTCGTGTTCTAACTTAAATCAATCCTTAGAAATACCAGTCATATGTATCCACTATAATTGGATATTCTATGTAATAAATGAGCATTGTTAAAAGTAATAGAAAGAACTCTTTGTAATGCTATGCAGAATGTGATTTGAAATACAATTTTTTGCCAAGTTAAAATAAAACATTTCCCAAACTTAAAAAAATTCTGAACTGAGGCCCGTCATATAAGCAGTGGAGTAGAACTACATTTGTTTAAAGACTAGATTGTGTAAATGTTCATGCAACAAGAGACCAAAAAGATCAGCAAAGACTTTAAATAGTCTTTCATCTTTTGTCCACAGTGAAATGTTTCCAAGTTAAGATGAAAAAGAATACTAAAATAAGTTACTGTTCTTAAGTGACTTGAAGACCATTATAGCCAGGGGGATTTGTTTAGGAATTTCAAAGAAAATATGTCTCCATTAATTAAAGTCTTCATGCAGCTGTACCAAAATATAACTCATTGATTGTTTGTACCCACTTCCAGTTAGTTTTTTTTAAGGAATTTTTAAGTAGTAGTCATATTTCCAAGAAGGGAGAGATTCTAGTCTGAATGATGGATTACAAGGCTGTGTTATTTAAGGTATGCATTATCTGATAAATACTCCACCAAAATACAGTATGATGGTTACCTTTTGGGTTCTTGGCTGTGTGCAATAAGTTTCTTTTTGTGTAGAGTATAAAACTATCCCTACTGTGTGTACATGTGCATATGAGGGAGGTATAAATTATGGCTAATAATGATACATGGTTTCCTTCCTCTGGTTTTATGTGGTGCTCTTTTGGTAGCAAACAATTATCAGGGTGCTTATAATACATAAAGGTGCAGAGTTTTTAAATGTAGCTCACACCACACCTTAATTAATTGTCAATCTCTTGATGATCTTTACCAGATAGCCAGGTTGAACTGTCCTGTATGTGCTAGTAATACTGTTTTGTGTTCCTTATGCTTAAAATTTCAAGTTTGGTCATAAGCTTCCTTGTCTGGATACACTTCAAAGTCAGATTTATATCACGTGTCAAGCAAAATAAGGAACTTTGTGTCTGCAGTTTTTTATCAGCTTAGAAGGGCACTGCCAGAAATCTTGCTGCATCTTGCAAAAACGGTTGTTGTGAAGAGAGTGAGGTTAAAAAAAAAAATCCAGAGGATTGCAATGTGAAATGCTTGAAGGTTATGAAATCAAGCCTAGAAAAGGGGTGCCTGGTATCGCCATGAGCCTGCATTAGGTTCACATTTAACAAAAATGAGCTGTTTTGCCATGACACCTTTGCTTCACTCAGTGCAGAGGACACAGTTTGTGTTCTTGGTTTCTGCACAGGAATAAAACAGAAGGCAATTTTCTGCACAGCTGAACTGGGAAGCAAGTCTGCATCTGAACTTGATCTTGACAGAGCTTGCTTAAGGTGCTGGGGTCTGTGCTTGTTGATTCACCTGCCCTCCTCCCCCCATTCACATAAACCAACACAGGAGGAGCACAGGAGCAGTAGCTGGTGACACCCAGCACACAAACTCAGGTGTAGTGATGTGAAAAATATTAAAGCAGAAAATACTCCACACTGCTGTTAGTAGACAGTGTAAGATGTGGCTGTAGGAAAGGACTGTAAGTCTGAATAGCTTTTCTTCTGGAAATGGAAAGTGCTGTTTTCACTTCCAGCATAAGGAGTTAGTACAGGATAATTACCTCTTAAGTTAAATATTTCTGATATAAAGCAAGCAGTACGTACCACTATGTCAAATACCCTATAGAAAAGCCAGAATGGTGCACTAGGCAGCTCAGATTTTATAATAAAGTCACAGATGCTCCTATTAAGCTGGAGCCTTAATACAGCCGAAGGTTTACTCCTAGTGTTGATTGCCATTTCTTTTCTCAATCACATAACAGATGGCAGCTGATCTATTGTGAAAGCAAGGCAAGGCAGCTCATCCCTTGTAAAAAAACACTACAAACACCTCCAGTTTTAGATCAGCACTGCCCAGTTTGCAGACAGGCAGTGTGGGGTGCACGGTGTGCATGCTCAGCCCAAAGTCACACGATGTCACATCCCTGGCTAAAGGAGTGAGGCTGTGTTTTCCCCTGTGCCTGGAGTACAGCTGTTGCAGTACCACGTCAGGAAAGATTAAATCGAGGCAAATCCCAAGGACTGGCTGCACTTCACCTTGCTGTGCTCCGTGTCAGCATGTGCTTGGAGATGTTGTGTTCATTTTGGAGAAGTTGCATCCATTTTGTGTGAAAATGAAGCAAAAGCATCTGCTTGAAATGACGATGGGGAAGCTTAACCACAGTTTCCTCTTTCTACCTCTCATCCTTCCTTTGTGGCCATTTATAGCAGCAGCAATTGCCACTGAGGCAATGCAAATAAAAGGCTGTGGGTTTATCAGTTTTGAAAAAATAGATGGAGAAACTGGATATCTATATAAAAAGGGGTTTTTAGCAATAATAATAATAATAATAATATCTGTTGCTGCACAGGGATGAGGAGTAAATTACCCCTTCCACCCTGTTGCAAAATACAAATAAAGCCTGACAAAGTCCACCAATGCTCTAAAAGAAGCTGCAGGTGCATTGTTAAGGCTTTTTGGGCCTTATGGCTAGAATAATTTAGATGAAAAAATGCAGTTGCATTTTGCATTTTGACTCTCCCTTGGAAGGCTCATGTTCTTGCTGCTGCAGGCCCTGCTTTGCTGGTGCAGCACTTACCAGTTTTGCTTCCTTGTTTGTGGTGTGGAAGTGGCAGATGAAACTGTGGATGTTGCAATGAGCTGGGCTGTCTCTTCACTTGCTCCAGCCCACAAGCACACCTGCTCTGTCCCAGCCTTCCTGCTTCGTGGCCCAGCAGAGCAGCAGTGCAGTGCCAGACCTGACAGTGTTCATAGCATTGTCCTTTTGGGAATGACTATGGCACAGTGGGGAAAGGGCCAGGAGACGGGGAGAAGCCTCCTTGCTATCCCATACCAGTGCTGAATTCCCAGAGGTGCTCTCAGCCCATTGCTGGAGCCAACCCACTCCCCTCCAGCTGCTGGGGCAGGAGTCTGGGATAAGTAGTAGACACTTGCAAATTGAGTTTTAATGAAAGGTGTCAGGTAATTTGCATAACCTGGTTTGTTTGTGCAACCCCTTTAAGATGCAGTATCTGTCAGACCCTAAAGATGTGTCCTTTAAGTCCTCACTTAAGCAAGCTTTTCCCTTTTACTCCCTTTATTTTCCTACAGTCAATTGCTTCGGCAGACATGGATTTGAATCAGCTGGAAGCTTTCCTCACTGCCCAAACCAAAAAACAAGGTGGCATCACATCAGATCAGGCTGCAGTCATTGCTAAATTTTGGAAGAACCACCGGACTCAAATCCACGAGAGCCTGATCAATCAGAGTCGCTGGGATAATGTCCTGAAAAACATGAACTGGAGAGTGGACCTGAAGTCACAGTTGAGGCACATTGATCAGATAAACACTCCTGTTGCAATAGTTGAAATGGAGCTGGGAAAAAATGGGCAGGTAAGCTTCCTTTTGCAAAATATATAAACCTGTTGTAGCTGCCCATGCACTGAGGATATTACCTATTGCTGAATTCACTGCATCCAGTTCAAGCCAGTTGATTCATCGCCACTGGCCCTTTAATGGACTTGAAATTGGGGTCCATCTTTGGATACAAAGAAACATTCTGGGTGGGGAATGCAATTTTTGCTTTTTTTTCATATCTTCATATAAATAAGGTATGATATATATATTGATGTATATATTGACAGCTCTCTTTACATTAAGCTTGAAAAATCAGAGGATGTAGAAATCAAACATGATGTTAAAATTCCATTTGTATACCATGCACTGCAAATTCAATTAGTCTTCTTTTCTTTTAATTCAACACTAAAACTAGTTAAAATATGCAAAGTAGGAGCTGAAAAAGAATAAAGTTCACAAATTATATTTTAGAACAAGTGAAGGGAAAGACTCCTTTTTATTTTACATAACACCCATTCTTATGTTACTTATTACCTGTCACATTGTACAATCTGGCCTTATCTACCTGAAAGATATCTATATATATACAGCTCTATTAGTGCTGAACATTACCTTCCTTTTTTATAGTCCTTAGGAACGTACAGCTAAAGGCACAGCTTCCCATCTTCACATTTGCTGTTGTTTTCTAACAGGCAATGTGTTTCAATTTGGTATCTTTTCTCTCTGCAATGTTTTAGTAAATTTCAAAACCTCATTTCTTAGCAGTTGCTACTGCAAATCATGCCATGAGCTGATTTGGGAATTTTGATGTTAGTGGTTAACATTTAGCAAAGTTCCTTGTATTTCATAGTATTGTAATAGCAAGAGTGCCTGAATTAGGAATACCTCAATCCATACACCTGGAATAATCATGTGCATAGGAATGATTGAATTCCAACTGTGTAGCTAAGCCAAGACAAGGATGAAGGTACATGTAATCTGAGATCCTACAGAAACAGAAGGTATTGCTGGAGTCATTCTGTTAGTTCACTTTTCTTTGCAGTCAGTGGAAGCTGATCCTTCCTGAGCCTTCCACTCATGGTTCTCTGCAGTGGCCAATACAATAATGGTGTGTGTCTTCAGGTTTTTTCCTAACCTCAGAGAAGTGGAGTTTTCTGCTCAGGATCTTGAGATTGAAAATGATTGTGTTCTATTAGCAGCAAATGGGAAAAAAAGGTTGTTCTGAATACAAAGGTTACAAGGGAGCACATTATAATGAGTACATTGAGTACATTAGTGAGCAAATGGGAGAAATACCTACATTCATTAAAAAATGCATCCTTAACTCAGAATAACTGTTGTGTTTCACAAGGGAATTATGTAGTTAGTGACTCCTGTTTTGAAACTGTTTTTTCCCCCAGTAATGGATTTTACAGTAACATCAGGCAGCAAGGACATTTATATTTCTTTCACCCTCTGCAGAGAGATGGGATGGAGGAAGAATAGACATTTCTGAGACATTATAGTGTCTCTTACCAAAGACCCCCACAACAAAATCAAAATTAATTATTTTAGCAATGCCCCTTCATGCTGCAAAGGGAAATGGTTGTGTGAATGCATTTCTGGAACTGCCATCAAACACAATTTTGCCTCCTTCCCTGAGGATACCTGTGAGCTGCAGCAAGCATGTCACCTGGTGTGAGTTAAACTGGTCCTTACTGAAACAACCATGGCGTAATTAGCATTGTCACCTCTTGAGTCAATGTACATTTATTGTAAACAGCTTTGGTTTCACATTGCCTTTGGCTGTGGATTAAATAAATTCTCTGCTGTAAATCTTTGGGTTGAGGCACTCTGCATCAGGCTGTATGCTGTGATGGGATGAGGTTTGGGAAACCACAGGAGTTTGGGGACCTCCTGGAAAGATCGGTCACAGGGACTCCTACTGGAGGTTGAACAAGTTGTTGCACACTGGATCCAGCCCACTAACTTGAAACTGTCATGTTTTATAGTTATTTTTACTTTATTGGCACATCTCTTCTAAATATCAAGTTTTGTAGTGCACATCAAATACACATATACTGGTACTTCCTTAAGTTTAGCAGAGAGCATATTTTCTAAACAGTTGTCAGCCATAGATGGGATTTGATGAATAATGAAGATCTGGCTTTGAAGAAGAAAGCTGGCTGATGATTCAGGAGTAAATTATTCACAACAGACTGTTTTCATTTGGACACATGATAACAGGGGAATATACAAATGCATTGATATGTAATGAATTGACATGAATATTTCATGGTTCAACAGAAGCAAAGAAATGCTCTGTAGAAAATGTACCTTTCCAGAAGTCGCTCTGATTCTTCTCAGTGCCTCTGGGTTGGATTTAGGTCTCTGCCCAGCAGAAGGCCAGCCTGCTTGGTGGAGCATCTGCTCCTTCTGCTTCAATAAATAACTTTGCTTCCTGCTTGCCTTCTCTGAATTTTAGTCAGCTCTTTCATGAGGGGAAGACGTTGTGTGTGAAACCTGATGTGGTTGGGAATGGGGAATTAAATGGAAGCGACTGGTTCATAAATGCCACTAGACTGAGTTTACATGAATTTTGCCAAATTTTGTAAGTGTTTTCTGGCTGGAGAGAGACGCTTTTGGGTTTGAGAATCCATCACAACTTGCATGCATTAATTCTTGCTAGCTTTGCCATTACTGGTAAGAGAAAAAAATGAACCCTTTTCCCTAAGTGCTCTTGAAAACACTTCTAATGAGGAACATTTGAAAATACCATGCTCTGAACTTTGAAAAATTTGACTCAAGGTCTGTAAATTGGAGTTTGAACTCTACTTCAGTAAAGATTTTACAGCAACATCAAAGGTTTCCTTTGTGCTGGTGTTGTAGTCTTTATAGATCCTAGGAGATCTGTATAAAGATTAAAGGCAGATGAACATGCTAGCCATCAGCTTTGAAGGCCCATTTTCTTTAACAATATAACTAAAAATAAAATTATAAAGCAGTTGCACTTTAGCCTGCATTTGCCTTCATCATGTGGTATTTAGTGCTCATCACTACTGTTCATTTTTTCCATTTGAACAGCCCATCTTTTCTTTGGCACAATGGTTTCATCCTCTTGGGTTTTTTATCTACCTTGCTGGCTTTCTCTTAAAATATCTGTAGCTACCTGTCCCCTTCTTTATGTGCTTTTTAATCTTGTTCTCCTTCTCTGAGCATGTCTGTAAAGCTCTTTTGGCATGAAATTTCAGGCAGACAGGAATTTGGTCAGAGGGATGGGAGAGTGAGCTGGAGCATCCTCCTTCTCATGCCCTTCCTGCCCCTCTGCACCAGCACTGCTCCCGTGGTGGGCAGCCACTGCTGTGCAATGTTGGCTTACCTGCACATTTCAGTCCCAGATTTATACCTGACCTTGCCACTGGACAGAAAATGAATGCATTGCTTTTGCACTGTGGCTTGGCACTAAAATTATATTTAAACTGGTTTTTTGGATTTTGTCATGTCATTTTCCCTGTGAGATCTGCCTCTCCTCTGGGGCTGTGTTCTTCCTGTGGGCTGATTTGCCAATAAGTTTTACTTTCTTTATGTAAATATATATAAATATATAGCATTATATATTTTGCAGTTTAATGTCTGAGACTGATCAGCTATTACAGATTAGCTGAGAATTTGCTTATGTCTTTTTTAGCTTATTTACAGAATGGGTATTTCCACATACATTTCTTTTCAGTGTTTAAGATACCAGTAATCCATGTAATATCACTTCTCCTGGGGCTTTGTTGGATCTTAAAGCATGTTTTATGATCAAAGAGTATTTTTTGCCGTGGTTTAACATGAAGCTGGGATTCTCCTGTAGGATTCTTGCCAGAAAGACCTGAGATAATCACATCAGGATTATGGATTAAAGGGTTTTTTTCCCAAAATACTGTATGTCTCTTCTCTTTCCTTTTCTAAAAGCCTCTACCTGACAGAGGGTCATAACAGTTAATGATATACATTAAGTAAATACCACAATGTAGCAAATACTAGAGGCTACATACAAGGTAAGAAATTAGGATTGTTTCTTTCAAAGTTAAGGGCGAACAGCAGCCTTTCAGTCCATATACTTTCTCTGGTCTGAAATCACCAGGGATGTGTATCTTCACAAAAAACAAGTGGTTTTCTTTAAAGAACAGGCAAGCGTTAGTAACAGCCTTTTCAGTGAAAGTCTAATGTTCAGTACTTATGATTCTATTTTGATTGTGACTTTAAACTCTCTCCAGTGAGATAAAATACTTTCTGATGAAAGGACTTGCTAGGTGAAGTGCACCTTTACCAGTGCAACAGCATACTTGTTGTTGAAAAAGTAGAAACTCTCAGCTGGCCTTTACCTACTGTCTGCAGGTGGCTGGTCTAGACCCTTGTAATTTAGAGAAAATAATACTACTAATAATAATTCAGGTAATAATTATATTAGTTGATGTGTGGAAAGAGTTTGTAAGTAGTATAGACAATTGTCATGTCCTATATGTTGGAGATAAAATGCTACCAGTATTTTGAAGAACTTGAACTTGATATTTCATCAAGTTTTAGTTGCAGTGATTATAAAGGTTTAATTAATGTTTTGAGAAGGGATAAAGTAGGTCTCAAAGTAAACTTCTGGGAAATGAATTTTTTTTCTGCCTTGTTAATTAAGTCCATGCTACACAAATCTAGGCTGAAATTTCTGTCATCTGTGCTATAAACAAATGATATTTATTTTTAGCATTCACACATGAGCATGCTTTCACGATGTAATAAAAAAATCTCAGCATTTATCTTCTATAAAAACTCATTCCCTTGCTGGGAGTACACACTGAATGCTGCTGAGGATGTGGTGGTGTTTTGTGCATTTTTCTGAGCCATTTTTCTCTTGGCTTTTGTTAGCTACAGTTATTCCCAGCCTTAGCTGTCACTGCTGCAGGGAGGTCAGACCACGAGAACATCAGGAGTACACTCATGCCATAGGGAAGAAGGATTATGGCTGTGCCTGCTTTTGCCTCTGTGTGACTCCAGGTCAGGCTGCTTCAGAGATATGG